GGAGGGTAAAGTGGAGGAGGCATCAGAAGGCATTAACTAATTCAGAAATATAGCCCCCATGACCCTGTGGGTATAATCTTGGATGGGCCCTAAAATGCCATCCTTGTTCTGGAGTCTAATTGGAGATGTATTCTTCTGGAGCCACCATTGCCTGGCCAGCCTATGCTGCCCATTCTTCCTCCACCCCTGCCTCCCTTTGGCTTGGAATGGACGCCTATCATCAGTGGCCACTTCCTAGTACCCCCCTTTTTTAAATTTATTGTATAGGAATTTTTTATTGAGAAGACAATAATAACAAGATGAAAAACACTTCATCCCCAAATAGAAGCTATTTTTTTAAATTAAAGTATCATTGATACACTATCTTTTTTTATTAAGGCATCATAGATATACAATGTTATGAAGGTTTCACATGAACAATATTGTGCTTACTACATTCACCAATATTATCAAGTCCCCACACACACCCCATTACAGTCACTGTCCATCAGTGTAGTAAGATGCTCTAGAGTCACTACTTGTGTTCTCCATGCTATACTGCCTTCCCTGTGATCCCCCTACATTATGTGTGCTAATCATAATGCCCCTTAATCCCCTTATCCCTCCCTTCCTACCCACCCTCCCCAGTCCCATCCTCTTTGGTAACTATTAGTCCATTCTTGGGTTCTGTGAGTCTGCTGCTTTGTTCCTTCAGTTTTTGCTTTGTTCTTATACTCCACATATGAGTGAAATCATTTGTTACTTGTCCTCCACTTGGCTTATTTCACTGAGCATAATACCCTCTAGCTCCATCCATGTTGTTGCAAATGGTGGGATTTGTTTTCTTCTTATGGCTAAATAATATTCCATTGTGTATATGTACCACATCTTCTTTATCCATTCATCTACTGATGGACACTTAGGGTGCTTCCATACCTTGGCTATTGTAAACAGTGTTGTGATAAACACGGGTGCATACGTCTTTTTGAATCAGGGATCTTGTTTACTTTGGGGAAATTCCTAGGAGTGGAATCGGTGGGTCAAATGGTATTTCCACTTTTAGTTTTTTGAGGAACCTCCATATTGCTTTCCACAACAGTTGTACCAATTTACATTCCCACCAACAGCGTAGGAGGGTTACTCTTTCTCAACATCCTTGCCAGCATTTGTTGCTCCTTGTCTTTTGGATATTGGACATTGTAAGTGGTGTGAGGTGATATCTCATTGTGATTTCAATTTGTATTTCCCTGATAATTAGAGATGTGGAGCATCTTTTCATGTGCCTGTTGGCCATCTGAATTTCTCCTTTGGAGAAGTGTCTGTTCAGATCCTCTACCCATTTTCTATAGGGTTTTTCATTTGTTGGGTGTTGAGGTGTGTGAACTCTTTATATATTTTGGTTGTTAACCCCTTATCAGATATGTTGTTTATGAATATATTCTCCAATACTGTAGGATGCCTTTCTGTTCTGCTGATGGTGTCCTTTGCTGTACAGAATCTTTTTAGTTTGATGTAGTCCCATTTGTTCATTTTTGCTTTTGTTTGCCTTGCCCAAGGAGATGTATTCAGTAAAAAGTTATTCATGTTTATTTGTAAAAAATTTTTTTATTAAGGTATTACACTCTTATGAAGGTTTCACATGGAAAAACAATGCGGTTACTACATATACCCATATTATCAAGTTCCCACTCACACCCCAATGCAGTCACTTTCCACCAGTGCAGTAAGATGCCACAGATTCACTGTTTGCCATCTCTGTGCTACACTGTTTTCCCCGTGACCCCCCACACCATGTGTACTAAACATAATACCCCTCGATCACCATCTCCTCCCTCCAAACCTGCCCTCCCACACCTCTGCCCTTTGGTAACCGCTAGTCCCTTCTTGGAGTCTGTGAGTCTGCAGCTATTTTGTTCCTTCAGTTTTGCTTCTTTGTTATACTCCACAAATGAGGGAAATCATTTGGCATTTGTCTTTCTCCGCCTGGCTTATTCACTGAGCATTATATCCTCCAGCTCCATCCATGTTGTTGCAAATGGGAGGATTTGTTTTTTTTCTTAAGGCTGAATAGTATTTCAATATGTATATGTACCACACCTTCTTTATCCATTCATCTACTGATGGACACTTAGGTTGCTTGCATATCTTGGCTTTGTAAATAGTGCTGCAATAAACATAGGGGTGCATATGTCTTTTTGAGTCTGAGAAGCTGTATTCTTTGGGTAAATTCCTAGGAGTGGGATTTCTGGGTCAAATGGTATTTCTATTTTTAGTTTTTTGAGGAACCTCCATATTGCTTTCCACAATGGTTGAACTAGCTTACATTCCCACCAGCAGTGTAGGAGGGTTCCCCTTTCTCTGCATCCTCGCCAACATTTTTTGTTCTTCGTCTTATCGATGCTGGCCATCCTAACTGGTGTGAGGTGATATCTCATTGTGGTTTTAATTTGCATTTTCCTGATGATTAGTGATGTGGAGCATCTTTTCATGTGTCTGTTGGCCATCTGAATTTCTTCTTTGGAGAACTGCCTCTTCATATCCTCTGCCCATTTGTTAATCGGGTTACTTGCTTTTTGGGTGTTGAGGCATGTGAGTTCTTTATATATTTTGGATGTTAACCCCTTATAGGGTAGGTCATTTACAGATATATTCTCCCATACTGTAGGATGCCTTTTTGTGCTGCTGATGGTGTCCTTTGCAGTACAGAAGCTTTTAAGATTGATATAGTCCCATGTGTTCATTTTTGCTTTTGTTTCCTTTGCTTGAGGAGATACACTCAGGAAGAAGTTGCTCATGTTTACTCAGGAGATTTTTGCCTATGTTGTCTTCTAAGAGTTTTATGGTTTCATGACTTACATTCAGGTCTTTGATCCATTTCGAGTTTACTTTTGTATATGGGGTTAAACAATAATCCAGTTTAATTCTCTTGCATGTAGCTGTCCAGTTTTGCCACCACCAGTTGTTGAAGAAGCTGTCATTTCCTCATTGTATGTCCATAGCTCCTTTATCTTATATTAATTGACCATATATGGTTGGGTTTATATCTGGGCTCTCTAGTCTGTTCCACTGGTCTATTGTTCTGTTCTTGTGCCAGTACCAAATTATCTTGATTACTGTGGCTTTGTAGTAGAGCTTCAAGTTGGGGAGCATAATCCCCCTAGCTTTATTCTTCCTTCTCAGGATTGCTTTGGCTATTCAGGGCCTTTTGTGGTTCCATATGAATGATTTGCTCTAGTTCATTGAAGAATGCTGTTGGTATTTTGATAGAGATTGCATTGAATCTGTAGATTGCTTTAGGCAGGATGGCCATTTTAACAATATTAATTCTTCCTATCCATGAGCATAGGATGTGTTTCTGTTTAGTGGTATCTTTAATTTCTGTCATGAGTGTCTTGTAGTTTTCAGAGTATAGGTCTTTCACTTCCTTGGTTAGGTTTATTCCTAGGTATTTTATTGTTTTTGATGGAATTGTGAATGGAATTGTTCTTCTGATTTCTCTTTCTGGTAGTTCATCATTAGTGTATAGGAATGCAACAGAGTTCTTTGTATTAATTTTGTATCCTGCAACTTTGCTGAATTGAGATATTAGATCTAGTAGTTTTAGAGTGGAGTCTTTATGGTTTTTTATGTACAATATCATGTCATCTGCAAATAGTGACAGTTTAACTTCTTCTTTACCAATCTGGATTCCTTGTATTTCTTTGTTTTGTCTAATTGCCGTAGCTAGGACCTCCAGTACTATGTTGAATAACAGTGGGGAGAGTGGGCATCCCTGTCTTGTTCCCGATCTTACAGGAAAAGCTTTCAGCTTCTCACTGTTAAGTGTGATGTTGGCTGTGGGTTTATCATATATGGCCTTTATTATGTTGAGGTACTTGCCCTCTATACCCATTTTGTTGATAGTTTTCAACATGAATGGATGTTGAATTTTGTTGAATGCTTTTTCAGCGTCTATGGAGATGGTCGTGTGATTTTGTCCTTTTTGTTTATGTGGTGGATGATGTTGATGGATTTTTTGATGTACCATCCTTGCATCCCTGAGATGAATCCAACTTGGTCATGGTGTATGATCCTCTTGATGTATTTTTGAATTTGGTTTGCGAATATTTTGTTGAGTATTTTTGCATCTACATTCATCAGGGATATTGGTCTGTAATTTTCTTTTTTGGTAGGGTTTTTGCCTGGTTTTGGTATTAGGGTGATGCTGGCTTCGTAGAATGAGTTTGGGAGTATTCCTTCCTCTTCTATTTTTTGGAAAACTTTAAAGAGAATGGGTATATGTCTTCTCTGTATGTATGATAAAATTCCACAGTAAATCCATCTGGCTCGGCAGTTTTCTCTTGTGTAGTTTTTTGATTACTGCTTCAATCTCGTTGCTGGTAATTGGTCTGTTTAGATTTTCTGTTTCTTCCTTGGTCAATCTTGGAAGGTTTTATTTTTCTAGGAAGTTGTCCATTTCTTCTAGGTTTTCCAGCTCATTAGCATATAGATTTTCATAGTATTCTCTAATAATTCTTTGTATTTCTGTGGGGTCTGTCATGATTTTTCCTTTCTCGTTTCTGATTCTGTTGATGTGTGTTGATTCTCTTTTTCTCTTAATAAGTCTGGCTAGAGGCTCATCTATTTTGTTTATTTTCTCAAAGAAATAGCCCTTGGTTTCATTGATTTTTTCTATTGTTTTATTCTTCTGAATTTTGTTTATTTCTCTTCTGATCTTTATTATGTCCCTCCTTCTGCTGACTTTAGGCCTCATTTGTTCTTCTTTTTCTAATTTAAATTATTGTGACTTGAGATTATTCATTTGGGTTTGTTCTTCCTTCTTTAAATATGCCTGGATTGCTGTATGCTTTCCTCTTAGAACTGCTTTTGCTGCATCCCACAAAAGTTGGGGCTTTGTGTTGTTGTCATTTGTTTCATATATTGCTTGATCTCTCTTTTAATTTGATTGTTGATTTATTGATTACTTAGAAGCATATTGTTAGGCCTCCATGTGTTTGTGTGTCTTCCAGGCAGGGAGTTCAGCATTTCGTTCTGGATAAAGAGGACACTTAGCAAGAGGACACCTTCCTCTCTTGACTGGGATTGAGACCCAGTGTCTTTGGGTGAGGAGCCAACCACTCCATATGCAAAGCAAGGTGGGTACAGGCAGGGGCTCTGAGACTTAGGGATTTGTGGCCTAATAAAATTACAAATTAAAACTGGGTCCTAACATAGGGCCAACAACTTTTGATTTCACCACTTAAAAGAACATTTTATAATACTCCTATTAATAATAATACAAGAAAGAAGATCTAACCATTATAAAGAGAGCTTATGATGGACCAGGCACTGTTTGTTATGTCTTTCATGAATTATTTGATTTGATTCTCATAATAAAAATCCCTACTCTGTAGGCGCTATTATCCCCATTTTATACACAAGGAAACTTCTTATGTTAAGTAAATTGTTCCCGGGCCTGTGCTGATAACTAGTGTAATATAAGCTCATCTTCGAAAACAAGCACACAAGGCAGGTCCTAACCTCAAAATTTGGGCATAAATGAGTGAGAAGCCCCGTCAGTGAAGCTGGATGGCTCTGATGTTGAGTTTTAGGGCACTTATTTAACGTTCACTGTGCCTCAGTTTGTTCACCCGCAATGAAAATAAGAATACCCACCCCATGGGCTGTTGGGCAGAATGAATTTCACACGTGCTCCTCAGAAAGAGCCCCTCGCACAGCGACTGACAGTGGTAAGGACCCAGTGCGTGCCAGCCACGGGGCTCATCACTGCTATTCCTCTGGCAGGGCCCCGCAAGCTTACCTCTTGCTAGGAGGAAACTGGGCGTGGATACCACAGCGTGGCTCTGCTTTGGCCGTCAGATGGTTGCTGGGACTGACTGTCCCCTCCTTCACTAACAGAAGCAGGCAGAAACATTTGGGCTTTGCTTCCCATTGGTTGAAATGGGTGCTGCCATGGCAGCCCTTGTAAACATTCAGTCTGGGAATCCTGGGGGAAAGCTGCAGAGAGGCTCTTTCCGCGGCTTCCCAGGCTACTACGGTTCCAAACAAGGATCTGTCTGGTCACTCAGGTATCGGGTGTTGATAAGGGTGGGAGGGCTCCACAAAAAGGCCCTGCACTGGTTCTCCCCAGGCATCACCCAGACTCCAAACTTGACCACACCCTGACCCTTCTCACCCATTCTGCCCATCTGACCTCTCATTAGGAGCAGAAAGGGACAAAAGGAACGAGAGGCCAGTGGGAGGGACGCTGAAGAATGGCTGGTACCCACAGATGGGTGAGGGCAAGATCTGAGCTGCTTCCAGAGCCCTGTTCTGCACCTTCCCTCTCCTCTTGGAGCACAGGGCTCCCCAGGGAGGCCTCAAGGAGGTCCTTCCATGGGTGAAGCCCCCACTTCATTTCCTTGGTGTTGAAGGTCAAAGATTTGGCTTCCAGTCAATTTACCAAGAGGCAATTTGCTGAAAGCCAAGTCACTGAATGACCGAGTCACCAAACAGGCCAGTCAGTCTCTGAAGTATCAAGTTGCTGTATGGTTAACTCACCAAAGACTAGCGAATTTACCAATTTACCAAAAAGCTCTGCAATTGTCTTTAACAACAGGACTTACAGCAAACCATTTTGGTGAAATTGGCAAAGCCGTCGGGCTGGGCAGAGCCAGTGCTGCACGGCTGAGGGCCGCCAGACTCCCTCACCCCCCACCCTTCAGTGTCCTCACTCTGGGACGGGCAGCCCGGGAAGATAACGTTTTCCCCCAGGAAAATGACCCTGTCCACCCCTGCTGCAGCAACGGGAAAATGAGGCAGATGCAAACTGAGCTTCATGCTAATATGAAGACCCAAATGAACATGAATCAGCCAGCATTATTACTGAATGTTTAAAGGCTGTTCAAACCATTCCTGGGCTGATGGCCACAGGGACCCGGGTTGCCTTGTGTAGCACCTGCCACACCTGGCAACCCACAGTGACGCCAAGAAAGGGAACAAGGGCGACTCTTTCCTTGAAAGAGGCTCACAGAAACAGAGTGAGCACAGTCTGGACTCCAGATGGAAACCTGAGAACAGGGCCCCACAACTCTTTGTGAATCTTAGAGGGAGGAGGGCAGGGTAGTTAAGAGTACGGGCCGTGGAGGCAGACCGTTGGAGTGAGCTTGGCTTCCTCATTTCACATAGTAACAAGAGACCCTCTTTCTACGACTGAGAGTCCCAGCAGGAAACTGCTGGCATACTGAGGTAGGACAGGTAGGGAAGGGTTAAGTGGAGGGAACGTTTACAAAGGTGTGGGCAGACAGTGGGGAAATGGGGCAAGTGCAGCTCCCTGGGGCTGGTAATGGGCCACAGGGCTGAGGGGAGAGAGTGGCTGCCCTTATCAGCCTGAGAAGTTGTGAGAAGCTGCCCTGGGAGAAGTGGGGGCCTCCTCCATTCAGCGAGCCACAGGGACCCCAAGGAGAGAGCCCCTCGGGAATATATACCTTGCCCTCACTCTCCTCCCTTCAGCCAGATCTTCCCATCGTGTGGAACCTCCTGGGAGCCAGAAGGCACTGAAGAGACCACTGCTGTGGTCTGGTCAGGTCAGTCCTCCAGGGCAGAGCGCAGGGGGTGGTGTGGCAGAGCGGATCTGGAAGGGCAAGTGAGGTCTCATGGGGCGGTGCGGAGTTCACTGAAATGAGCCCACTGAATAGCCCACAGCTGCTACTTAGAGAAAAAGAAAAGGTTCCCTTTGGAGAGGGATCCACTTTCCTGCAACACTCCAGTGCAAGGAGTATCTGTGAGCAGTTTTTAACTCTGCCACAAGTGACGGAGTTGTCATAAGAGACTTAAGCAACGAAAAAAAGAGAATTCAAGACCCAAGCAAAAAGATGGAGGATATACAAAGACTCCTAGCCCTGGGATGTACCTTTGTTTGTAGCTCTGATAACTCTAGTTTTCACAATCTCAACAGATGTTAAAGGCATTTGGAAAATTTTAGCTATCACTTAGGATAAACATCTTACTAAACTAGGAGCGAATAATTATTTTCTTGATGAGATCAATCTCAAGCCATCAACCAGCCTCATACTTAATGGTGGTAACACCGGAAAACATGCCCACTGAAGTCAGGCACCAAAGGATGCTCACTATCTCTACTTTTACTTGACATTTTTCTGGAAGTGTTACCCAAAGCTAATACTTATAAGAGATATATATTTCAGGAAAGAAGATGGTAAAAAAAAAAAAAAAA